ACAGTGCATGCACTAAGACTTCAGGTGGTATCGTTAAAACAAACCAACTAGGAGTTGCTCCCCAAATATTATGTTTTAGCTGACTCTTGGTGGATGAATGGATGCATGCTACCAAAAACAATGTATTGAATGAATCATGGTATTCATCTGGACCAGGGCTTTTTTTTTTAAATGACTTTCTATCATGCTGTGCCTCTTTCTTCCCTCTATCCTTCTCCCTTCTCCTCATTTATAGCTGTTTCTCTCTTTAACTAAAATCATTTACAAGGAGCTTTCCAGAAATGGGTAAGGGAATTATTACTGTACAGAAGAAGCATCTCTGGTGAGCTCAAATGACTATATTTAATAAGCTTGCCTTTTAGGAATTGGCATCAGAGAGAACTAATGAGAGAGGGATGTGCTATGAAATATCTACATCTCAGAGCTCATGTATATTAAATCTAATAAGTCAGTAAAGAAGACCAAGGACCCAAAGGACCATTGTGTTGAGTTAGTTTTCTTATTTATATATCAATTAAAGGCCAGATAAAACTTTTCCTATGGAATTGTCGGTGTTGATTTATTAAATGTGGACAAAAGAATCATTGCAAATATTATACATAGTGATGTATGATTTCAACCTTAAATTGCTTTGGGATTAAGTAACATACTTAATTTGGGTAGCTGCAATAAAGTACAAAGGCTAAAATAATTTCTTTGCTGCGAGACAGTGATCCAGAGCTCTATTTTCACTGGAAACTGGATGTACTAGAAGAAATTGTTTGAATAGTTACAGTTAGGCACGTAAATGGCATTATGAATGGTATTTTCATTTCTAGTAGAAAGTTGATTAGGTACTTAGTAATAGTTTCTTTTTCATTCATGTGTACGAGAGAGAAAGAAAAAGAAAGAGTACTTGAATTGGCCGTATGCTGATCACTGAGTCAGGCAAGGGTGGAGAGAATTCTCTGCATTTATGAAAACACAGATACTTGATGTACTGAAATTCTATAAATAAGTATTTATTAAGTGCCTATCATGTGTAGTCACTGGGGATAGGATACAGACAAAAGTGAAATTGTCCTTGATTTCAAGAAACTTGTATTCTACTTGGGAAAACAACATGCCTGTGGGTGTATGCATACATACATGCACATGTGCATACATCTATACACATACACACAGAAAGACAGGGTAACTGTAAAACTGTGGAGACTAGGAAGGGTTTTATGCAGAAGTGATTTAACTTAAGTCTTCCCAAGGGTGGATGTGAGAAGAGAGAGCATTCAAACAAAGCATGGGGAGACCAGTGCAAATGCATGGTCATGGAAGAGATAGTAGCTTGTTAGAGAAACAGCAGGAAGCCTAGTGCGGCTGAATGAGAGGATGTGAAGAGGAGAGAAATGTGAAATTAGGCTGGAAAAGCAGGATGGGGCTAGGTTATGCCAAACTTTATTTATTTATTAAAATTTATTTTATTAATTTATTTTGATTTATCAACAATCACTTCCAATATGCTTTTGAGTTTAACATTTTTCTCCCCCTTCCTCCCCACCACCCTCCCCAAAATGGCGCACAATCTGATATAGGCTATACATTTACATTCCTGTTAAACATATTTTCACATTAGTGATGTTGTAAGTAAAAATTAAAACCAATAGGAGGAACCATCAGAAAGAGGAAGCAAAACTCAATAGAAGAGAAAAAAAAGATAGCAATTCAACTTCCATAGTTCTTTCTTTGGATGCAGACAGCATTTTCCATTACGAGGCCTCTGGAGATGTCTTAGATCTTTGTATTGCTGAGAAGGGTTAAGTTTATCAATATTAGTCATTGCACAGTGTGGCTATTATTGTGTACAACATTCTCTTGGTTCTGCTCATTTCACTCAGCATCAGATCATACAAGTCTTTCCAGGTCTTTCTGAAGTCAGCCTGTTCATCATTTCTTATAGCACAATAGTATTCAATCACATTCATATACCGCAACTTGCTCAGCCATTTCCCAGTTGATGGGCATCCTCTCAATTTCCAAATCTTTGCCACCACAAAAAGAGCTGCTACGAATATTTTTGTACATATGAATCCTTTTCCCATTTGTATTATGATGAAGTTTAAATGCCAAACAGAGGAGTTTACATTTAAACCTACAATAGACCTAGGTTCAAATTCTACCTGTAGTAAATACTAGCTGTGTCACTACAAGCAAATGATTTAACCTCTAAGTTAGAGGAGTTAACGGTTTATATCTGGAGTCATACTGGACTCCTCACTATCTCTCACCCTCCTTATCCAAGCTGTTGCCAGGGGCCTGTCAATTTAACCTTTGCAGCATCTCTTGAATACACCCCCTTTTCTACTTTGATACTGCCACCACTCTGGTGCAGTCTCTGATCACCTCACATCTGGACGATGGCAATAACACCTGCTGGGTGGTCAGCCTGCCTCAAGTCTCTTTCCACTCTAATCCATTTTCTATTTGGCCACCAAAGTGATTTTCCTAAAATGCAGGTCAGAACATGTTGTCCCTCTTCTTGACAGACTCCAGTGACTTCCTATTACCTCTAGGAACAAATGCAAAATGCTCTGTTTGGCATTCAAAGTCCTTCAAACCTAGCCCCCTCCTAACTTTTGAGTCTTCTTGCACCTTATTCCCTCACATATATGTACTCTTTCATCAAGTGACACTGGCCTTCTGGCTGTTCCACAAATCTCTGTTCCACTCCATCTTTCCATTGGGCATTCTCTCTGGCTGTCTCCCAAGCCTGGAGGGCTCTCTCTCCTCCTTTCTGACCACTGTAAGTCCCATCCAAAATCCCACTTTCTACAGGAAGCCCTCCCTAACCTCTCTTACTTCTACTGCATTCCCTCTGTTAATTATTTCCTTTCATCCTATGGATAGCTTGCTTTGTATATATTTGTTTACAGTGTTTGCCTGTTAGATTGTAAGTACCTGGAGGGCAGGAAGTGTTTTTTGTCCCCTTTTGTATCCCTAGCACTTCACATAGTGCTTGACCTTTCATAGGTGCCTAATAAATGCTTATTGATTGATTGATCTGTGGAAAATAAAAGCAGGTCAGCAAAAAAAAAAGCTAATACATTGACTGAGCCTGACAGAAGGTGAAAGTGTTTAGAAATTGGCAAACTCTACAGTGTTTTATTTATTGTTTGGTTCATATCTAGACCAAAGAAAGTGATGGAGAAAATATTAATAATGAAGTATTAAACTTAAAAATGTCATATGCACATTTTTTCCTGGAAAACAGTTTACTAAACATTTGCCAATGCACAGATGAAGATGAGGGAAAGGGCCCCTTCTGAAGAAAGGCTGGAACTGATAAACTGCAAAGGTTGGGTCCAGATCACTCCACCCTACCCCCACTTAGCCTTGATAAATTTATCCATTGAGTGTCCAGAAAGCCTGGACACTTCCCTAGGAATAAGAGAAAGTCCATTCAGATTCACTAAGTGATTTTGTCATGTCTGCTGTGGACTCTATGAAATCATTTAGCTAGTTGGAATCTGAGATTTGAGCTAGTGGGAGCCAGGAGAGAGGTCTCCTGCCAATCCCCTTGGAAAAGAGTACTTGAGGGTGGGGGTGGGAAGAGATTGCCTCATCCTCAGACCCAGTTACATCTACAATTTCAATTAATCCAAATAGATTTATTTTTGGACCTAGTGTCCAAGCCTTGTTTACATTTGGTGTTTGAGATGTCTTCTTACTTGATGAATGTATTCAGATTAATTGGGATGGTGTGATTTTGACCCCACCCTTACACAAGTATGGATGGCAAAAGAGATGTATGATGGAAGTGCCACCATTTTAAAGGCCCTCAGGGATCAAGTTGGAAAATATCCTAAATATCCCAAATAGAAGATGATTCCAAAAGAAAGGAAAATATGCTATTATTATTTTTTAAAGGTAACTGAGAAGACTTTAGGAAATATGTATCTACTTTGTTACTTCTGTGAAATATTTGAGGCTAGTTATGTTGTATTGAGGATATTCATGATGAAAGTAAGAGAAGGACACAGGTAGGGTTTTGAAAATGATTTTCTGAAGTCAGCTGCATCTTTACAGTTATAGAATTGACTGAGAGGTCTAGTGTCATAATTTTTGACCTTTTTGAGCATAAGGACCCTTCTTTACCATTTAATGTAAAAATTTTAGAGGTCCTCAGATAATAGCTATGCTATTATCTATTAATTGAGAAAATATATGATGAGAAATTATGAATTCAGCAATGCTGTGAAATTAATTTGGATTTTATTAATCACATTTATTACATAAATTTGCAAAAGTAGCAATACATAAATGTGAGAGGTAGTGGAGTACAATAGAGAGCTGGCTTGGAGTCAGGAAAAGCTGGGGTTTAGTCCCACCACTGTCACGTATTAGTTGGGTGATCATGGGCAAATCAGTCAACTTCTTATTGCCTCTGCCAGCTTTCTAAGTTATGTAGACATTATTGATCTGCCTTGGTGGAGGGAATTTGTACATTGGGAGCTCCTAGTACTAATAAATCCCAGGTGCAGACCACCTCTCCCTTCCAGTCCCAAAGCTTATATATGTACAAATGTCTTAAGACATTTTGTTTGCTTATTTGTTATCATACTTCATATTTTGTTGTCAATCAATAAAATTAAAATGACAAGTGATACTTAATGTGCATATGGACTTAAGAAACCTTTGTAATGACTGTTTGCACAATCCTCTCTCCACTGCATGATAGGATACATGGTTCATAGGTTAGGAAACAAAAAAAAGTTTTAATTCTTTGTAGCAAAATATCTTAAAATCCCCCCTTTCCAGCAAAATGTCTCGTATACATTGTTGGGATCATAACAGATACATTGGATGCAAATACAGAGATAACTCGATTCAGTGATTTTCTGTGTATTATCATCAAGCAGGACAAAACAGGGAAAGCCATGCTCATCCGAGGTGTTATGTAGCATCATCGAGAGTAGAGGAGATATTCCATGTAGATAGTAAGGTTTGCCATATATTTCTGTTTGCAGATGACATTGTGCTGATTTCACAAATCCTCAGAATAGTACAGGGCCCTCAGGGGGATCCATGACTCTTCAAGAGAGATTAATCTGTCAGCTCATCCAGAGAAATCAAGTAAGTGCTGAATGCTGAATGTCTACATTATGACATGCGTTGGACTTTCAGGTACCACATGGAGTTTGGACAGGTATCGAAGAGCGGCAGCTAGTTAGGCCAAGAATTGAATAAGAGTTGAAAACAATGAAACACTTTCAGTGATTCTAGTTTGCTCCCTGCAACAAAAGCCAATCTTTTAAAAATGCCAGCATTCTTGAATTCATGATTTTTCTAAAAATTATGATAGAGCATGATCTCAGGAGAACTAAAATTATGCATGACCTAAAGGAAAATAGAAAGATACATGTCACCATAAGGAAGTTGTGCTTATTGCCATCTATGATTTGTATACCAGAGGTGACGTAAAAACAATAACATTAATAATAGCTAGCATGTATATAGCACTTTAATGTTTGCAAAGTGCATTGCAAATATCATCACATTTTACCTAGACAGCAGCCATGGGAGAGGTGCATTATTATTATCTTCATATTACAGATGAGGAAACTGAGGCAAACAAAAGTTAAGTGACTTGCCCAGGGTCACACAGCTAGCAAATGATTGAACCTGGATTTGAATTCAGATCTTTCTTCTTAACTCCAAGGCCAGTGCCCTATCCATTGACTATCAACTACCTATAAATATGGAGGACATATGTAAATAGAAAAGCAAATGGATCTGTCATATAAAGAGAGTGAGGGATAATAGATAAATAACTAAATTATTATAGTAGGGCTCATAAAATATTGAAATCACTGTATTACTGTTCAAAATAGCCTAATAGTGCTATTTAATAGAAGTCCTGTTTTAGTCCATAGTTTAGAATTTTGATGATCAGTATGTTAAATTATGAGACCTTAGAGTGTTGGCCTAGGCTCAGTTTAAAGTTGCATTTTTTTGGTATATAAAGATACTTATCTGCTTATATAAGTGGAAGAAGCTCAAGTGATACAGTGGATTGAGCACTGGGCCTGAGTTCAAATTCAGCCTTAGTTACTTCCTGGCTGTGTGACCCTGAGCAAGTCACTTAACCTCTACTTGCCTCAGTTTCCTCATTTGTAAAATGGGGATAATAATGCCAAATACCTCCCAGGGTTGTTTTGAGGATCAAATAAGATAGTATTTGTTAAGCTCTCAGTATAATACCTGGCATATATAAGTACTATATAAATGTTAGCTATTATTACTATTATTTCTGTAATGTTTGAAAATCATTTGTTCTTTTATGTTCAACAACATTAATTAACTGCTTACTCTCAGTTGATTCATGTGTATACACATGTGTATATATGTATGTGATACAAAGATTATGTCTTCAAGGAGCATACAATCTAGCAAGTAAATATTCCCTTGGTAATTTTGTCTTTATTATCATTCTTTTAACAAATACTTTGTTGGTAAAGATAAACTTTAGCTCACCTTTCCTCTCCAGTGATCACAAATTCTGAGTTACAGTGTAAGGTTTTTCTTTTTCAGAAAACCCATATTTTTTCCTTTTTTTTTTTGGTTCAGTACTCAAACACCCAAGAAGAACATTTTCATCTAAACAGCAGCACACAAGAGGAGGACTGCTCATCATACTGTTACTCTCTGCCTTATACTGACGCTTCTTCAAAATGGACATAACAGATTCCATTTGTTGCTCTCAAAGCTCTACTGCCTGTCCCTCTGAACTTCCCTCTGTTCCACTCTCCTTTTTCAGACATATTTCAGTGGCCCTCTCTTTGGTGTCATCATTGTTGCCGTCCTACACACCCCAAGCAAGCAAATAAAAAACTTAGAAAAAGAAAACAAATCCTGGCAAAGTTAAGCACAGTCAAACAAAATGTATACACACTGTCCATGTCAAAAAATATGTCTTTTTTCTGCCCCCTTAAGTTGATTACTTCTTCATAATGAGGTAGGTAATGGGCTTTATCTTAAGTCCTCTGGAGACTATATCAACTATTGAGTTCTTAAGAATTTCAAAGTTGTTGTTCTACTTAATGTTGTTTTTGCACAAATTGCTCTCCTGGTTCTGCTCGCTTCATACTTCCTAGGATTATGAAACGGCCTCTGTCCTCACTGCTTATGGCACAATAACATTCTTCTCTCTTCCCTTCCCTGATAGTATTTGTTTCCACCCCCAACCCCCATTTCCCTCTTGAGTTTAACTGATATTTCTTTTTCTTTTTTTGGCTAGGCAATTGGGGTTAAGTGACTTGCCCAGGGTCCCACGGCTAGTAAGTATCAAGTGTCTGAGGCCATATTTGAACTCAGATCCTCCTGATTCCAGGGCTGGTGCTCTATTCACCACACCACCTAGCTGCCCCTTAACTGATATTTCTGCACCAAATTGTGTGTGTCTTTCCCCTTTTAAAACTTTTAATAGAACCAATCTTCTTTAAACATTTGGTTTTTCTTATTTAATTCCTCAATTCCCCTTGTGAAGGCACAAACGTTCTGATGAACACTTGCTTTTCTCTATATTAGAATGTTAGCACAACATCTTACAGTTCCTTATAATTGCTCAAATTTACCTTTATAGGTTTTTAAAATTCTTATGCTTGCATTCCAAAGTTCCTATTCAGCTCTGGTCTTTTCATCAGGAATTCTTAAAGTCCTCTGTCCATTCCCCCCCCCCCCATCAAGAATTATCACGGGTGCATGGGTGAGTTTCTCTTGGTGGTAACCTTATATCTTTTGCCTTCTGGAATATGACATTTCATGCTCTTCTCTTATTTTAGTAGACACTGTGATCTTGATTGTGATTCCTTGGTATTTGAACTGCTTCTTTTTGGATGCTCACAATATTTTTTTCTTATACTGCCAAGGCTTTAAAAAATTATAATTTTTCAGGGTATCCAATGTCCTGGGACAATGTTTAGGGAGTCCTTAAATTCTCTCTCTCCTTGACTTATTTTCTAGGTCAGTTGATTGTTGATGTCAGACACCTTATTTTCTTATATTTTTTAATCTTTTGTTTTTGTTCTGATATTTCCTTTAAAAAAATTTTTTTTTTTGGCTAGCCAATGGGGTTAAGTGACTTGCCCAGGGTCACACAGCTAGTAAGTGTCATGTGTCAGACCAGATTTGAACTCGGGTCCTCCTGACTCCAGGGCCGGTGCTCTATCCACTGCACCACTTAGCTGCCTGTGTTCTGAAATTTCTTACTGTTTCAGAGTCATCACAGATTTCTCACTCTCACCCCCTTATCCAAGCTGTTGCCAAGGTCTGTAAATTTTACCTTTGCAACTTCTCTCGAACATGCCTCTTTCTCTCCTCTGACACTTCCACTTCTCTAGCACAGGCTCCCATCTCCTCACACCTGGATTATTACAACAGGCTTCTGGTGGGTCTGCATGCCTCAAGTGTTTTTTCCCTTCAATCTATCCTCCATTCAGTAACCAAAATGGTTTTCCCAAAGTACATATCCAAGCATGTCACCCCTCTACATAATAAACTCCTGTGGCTCCCTCTTGCCTCTAGGATCAGATACAAAATACTGTTTGGCATTTAAAGCCTTTCATAACATAGCTACCTCACCCTTTCTCCCCTCCCTGCATACCTTTCCAAATTTCTTACACTTCACTCTTGGACACGTATTCTTTGATTCAATGCCTCTGGCTTCCTAGTTGTTACGTAAAAGAGATAGTCCATCTCTCTTCTTCTGACATTTCTCTGCTGTACTTCATACCTGGAATGATTTTCCTCCTTTGTTCTGACTACTAACCCCCCCCCCCACCCCGACTTCCTTTTAGTCCCAACTAAAATTCCACCTACAGGAAATCTTCCCTAACCCTTCTCAATTCCAGGGCCTTTCCTCTGTTTGTTGTTTTTTTTCCTTTCTTTTCTTTTCTTTTCTTTTCTTTTCTTTTCTTTTCTTTTCTTTTCTTTTCTTTTCTTTTCTTTTCTTTTCTTTTCTTTTCTTTTCTTTTCTTTTCTTTTCTTTTCTTTTCTTTTCTGTCTTTTCTTGTCTTGTCTTGTCTTGTCTTTTCTTGTCTTTCCTTTCCTTTTCTTTCTTTTTTTTTGAAACAAGGACATTTATTTGTGAGGGAGCAGATGGAGGATTCACAGATTCTTCAGCCACTGGAGGGAAGGAGCCTGGGGATCCTGAGGTTGGCCTGGAGATGTCAGGCATGTTGTTATCATCTAGAACAGGAATGCAGGGTAGTTGTAAGGAGTAGCTTGGTTGACTATGTCTGCACACTTGGTATAGGGGCTTAAGGGAGTTACGAGCAGAGCCAAGGTGCCAATGGTGAAGGTCACGGTCAGCACCAGCTCCTTGGCCCAGGCCTCCTTCAGGAACCGGCCCAGTCTGCCCGCCATGTTGGCCACTTTCCTTGTCACTGCAGGGGCAGCTGGGATTTGTCTGTTTGTTGTTGTTATTCAGTTGTTTCAGTCCTGTCTGACTCTTCATGATCCCATTTGGAGTTTTCTTGATAAAGATACTGGAGTGGTTTGTCATTTCTTTCTCCAGCTCATTTTACAAATGAAGAAACTGAGGCAAACAGAGTTGTGTTACCTCCCTATGGTGACACAGCTAGTAAATTTCTGAGGCCAGATTTGTACTCTGGAAGATGAGTCTTCCTCATTCCAGGCTGGGTAATCTATCCACTGTGCCACCTAGCTATCCCTTTCCTCTGTTAATTATCTCCTATTTCTCTTGTATGTATCTTGTTTTGAAAATATTTTTTTGCATGTTGTCTCCCCCATTAGACTATACGCTCATTGAGGGCAGGGACTGTCCTTTGCTTCTTTCTGTATCCCTAGTGCTTAGTATAATGCCTGCTGCATAGGAGATGCTTTAAAAAAAAAAAGGTTGATTGATTTCTTGTTCTGGTCTGATTTTTAGGGAATTGGTTCAGTAAGTTTACTACTTTTTATTCCAAACTGTTCTTCTATTTCATCTCTTGCTTCATTTTTTCTGGGTATTTATGTAGTCTTCATGGAAAATCTCTTTTTCTTTTGAGTTTTGGCTTGTAGCTATTAAGTTACTCTACGCTAGGTTGGATTTTGGGGCAGCACATGGCATAGTG